TTTTTTTTTTTTTTTTTTTTTTTTAGTCTACATTGATCCTTGTATGTACACAAAGTCATGATAGATGCACGGGAAAGAATGTTGTACAAAAGGTCATGCTCTAAATGCCCAAATGCTCCAGGTACCTTGGCTTAAAAACACCCCTGTGAAACCAGAACTGACAAACATAAACTGATTCTGTATATGTTCCTTTCAGTTTGAAAAATAGTGAAGGGATATTAGCCACCAAAGAGTCTTTCGATTTCCAAACTATTAAGGAGATTTGAGAAGTTTGAAAATTGAGTATCTACTTGAAATTGACTCAGATGAGACAAGAAAACTGTCAAATAACTAAAGGTAAACACGAATATGACTTCCTAAGTAGTCTGGAAAATAAAAATGTCTGAGCAGACATTAATAAATTTATTTATAACAAAGACCTGCACAACCCTGGGAGGTCATTGCTAGTTACATGTCAGGTATATAGAGAATGCTAATTATAGATTTTATGTCAGGATCATGGCCAAGGATGGCAGAGGTGACTGTCCTTACCTAACTCATACTTGATGCTTCTTACTGTATTCTTAGCCATGTGTACTAAAATCGTATTAACTGGCTCTCACAAAATAGACTAGAAGTTTGATATGCCACTTTAGAAGAGAGGTTGCTAAGTCACGATTCAGCTTTCTTTTCGTTTTTATGAACATTTTTCCTTTCTTCAATTTCAAAATACGTGCTTGTTGGGAAAAAAAAGTGAAAGATCTCTGTCCTGCACCCAACCCTTGGCCTCCTGTTAATTCTGTTCTTCTCCCCAGAGAGGATCACTGCTAATAGTTTGGACTGTGTCTTTCCTGATTTTCCCTACATTCCTGTGAATGTATTGGGGTTGGGGTTGGGAGAGCTGGAGCGGTGCAAAGAGAGACAGAGGAAGAGAGAGAGAAATGCGCAGCTTGCTTTTTCACTTAATATATCCTGAACATTTTCTCATATACACGTATAAGGATGTGCCTCATCCTTTTGAATGGCTATTATAACATTCCACAGTTGCATAATTCATTTAACCATTTACTTATTAGTACACATTAAGGTCATCTTCCATTTTTTTCTCTTATATATAATGATACAGTGAATATTCTTTTACTATAACCTATAAGCTTGATATACACCTCCTCATTTTAAATACTTGGTAATTTCCTTTTAGAAATGTCTTATTTTGATAATTTACAACATGTATAAAAATAGAAATAGAACAACAACACACATGTAGCAATCACTCAGTTAACTGGTGTCAACTCACAACCCACTCAATCTCTCACCCTTCCAGTTTATTTTGAAGCAAAATTTTGACATTGAACCATTTCATACGTAATATAGTGTATCTCTGAAAGATAAGGACTAATTTTTAAGTATAACCATAATACCATTATCACATTTATTAAATCAGCATTTTTTCTGGCCTAACAAAATATCAATGACAGTATCTTTTTTGGGGTGGCGGGGGGGGGGGGGGCGGCTGGCCAATACAGGAAACTGAATCCCTGACCTTGGTGATATCAGCACCATGCTCTATTGAGTGGGCTAATTAACGGTTTTATTTTTGAGAGAAAAAAAAAAAAAAAAAAAAAAAAACCCAAACAAAAAAAAAAGGGGGGGGGGGGGGGGGGGGGGCAGCTGGCCAATACAGGAAACTGAATCCCTGACCTTGGTGATATCAGCACCATGCTCTATTGAGTGGGCTAATTAACGGTTTTATTTTTGAGAGCATTCCATAAGTATTCTGTTTCTTATATACATATCTCTGTACTTATCCTTTAGACCAACTGATTATTCATATTTTCTGTTACTTGTTTAATTTTTGTATATTTGATCTAAAAGAGATTTTTAAAACAATTATTTCTTACTCTGTAATTTTAGAATTAAAATTTGGCTTTTACTTTATATATTTCAAAGCTATAGGTTTATAAAGACTCATGAACTTTTTACATGTCTTGTACATTTTCATCAATATAAAATATCCTTTCTTACATTTAAGACTTTTACCTTGCACTCTATTTTCTTATATTATAATTCTACTCCTACTTTGTTTCTTTCTCGAACCTTTTATTCTGTATTTCTGTGTCTTTTTTAAAAGATGTATCTCTTAGCATAAATTTGATTTTTTTTTTACCCAGAGACTCTATCATTTATGAGGCAAATATCATCCATATATATAATTGAGAAAATCAATGCTTGTTCTAATTGCTATTGTCTTATCTGACATTTTCTCTTATACATTCTTATTGCTTTTAAAATTTTTCTCTACTACCTTTTTCTTGATTAGTTGAGTTTCTTTTTCCTTTCTTGCTGTTTGAAAATTATACATAGTTTTTTTTTATTCTTCCTATAGTTATCTTTAATTTTTTCCTAGCTCTGTATTTAAAATTTTTCACACTTCTAGAGAAATTGCAAGAATAATATAATGATCACCATAGCCTTCACCTAGACTCACTAATGGCTGAATTTTCTCACATATACTATGTAAACACATGTATGAACAGATTATTTGGCTTAACTATTTGAGAGTAACCTACAGACATCATGACACT